TACCCCAGTCGAGGTCTCCCGGTTCCTCCTCCCCCTCTCTTCCTGACTTCAGCTCCCCCTCCTGCTCCCCCGGTACAAACCTCCCCCCTGGTCTAGCCCCGTCAGGTGTGTACCAGGCTACTCTCCCCTTTCGGTAGCCCCTCAGGTGTAGCCTCCTTCCCGGAGTCCCCCTCGCAGCCTGCTGCAGACCTTGCGGGAGCCGGTGTTCGTGGAGAGGGCACTGCAGGTGCTAGTTCTAGAGGGGTTGGTGCTGAGAGCGTCCCTGTGCCGGTTTCTGGTTCTGGGGGTGCTGGAGTTGGAGCTGAGCCTGTGGTTGCAAGAGACTCGTGTCTTCCGGGAGATGGTGTTGGTCGCGCTGACTCTGGGGGTGCTACGTCTGGGGGTGCAGGTGCGCCCCCTTCGGGTCCTGGTGAGCCTGGCGGTTTGTTGCTGTTGGTGGTGCTGACTCTGGGGGTGGTGCGCCAAGTGCTTTGGAGGGCGGTCCTGGGACTGCCGCAGCCCCAGACACTACTCCTCCACCCCACCCCTACCCGACCCGGCACTATGCTCGTGTTCGCCGTGCCCATGAGGAGCAGCTGGAGTTGGAGAGAGAGGAGCGAGAGTTGCAGCAGTTGGAGCAGCAGCAGCAGCCGCAGCCGGAGCAGCAGGCAGCAGCAGCAGCAGCAGCCGAGCCGCGCAGCAGCAGGAGGTACAGCAGCAGCTGCCGCAGCAGCAGCAGTAGCAGCCGCCTCCTCCTCCTGTCTCTGGTCTTCGGACCCTCGGTCTCCCCTCTCCCTCTCTTCCCTCCTCCCCCTTTCTGGTCCTCCGCTTCCTCCTCCTGGCCCCTCCCCAGCTGTTTTCCCTCGTTCTCAGCCTCTGTTCTCCCCTCCTCCTTCTCAGACTTGGGCTTCTCGTCGCTCTCCTCGTGCTCGTCCCTCGTCCCCTGTTCCCGTCACTGACCTCCGTACTGTCCTCTTTTGTTCTAGTCCGCCTCGTTTGTCTCCGTCTGTGCTTCCGTCTCCTCCTGAGTCGGCCCTCACTGCTTCCCTCTCTACTCCTGTCACTGACTACTACCGCACGTACCGTCCTGTTCTCTCTCGTGTTCTCGCCTCTCTTGTTACCGACACTCGTGCCTCTGTGTCCTCTGTCTCCGCTCTCACTGCCGCAGTCACTGAGTTTGCCTCTACTCGCCGCCTTGACTATGCCACCGGTCTTGTGGCTGCTCCTCCTACCAGTCCTTTGGCCGTTGGGGGTGAGTCTGCCTTGGCTGTGACGCCCTAGAGGATAGGCATTTTGAGCTAGAGTTCCTGCAGCAGCCGCTTCCCCTTATCTCTGTGCCATGCTGCTCGCCCCTGAGGGAGACCCCGACGCCCTTGACATACCGACTCCTCGCACTTACGCTGAGGCAGTGTCAGGATCTTGGGCCTCTCAGTGGAGAGCTGCCATGGACGCAGAGATGGCCTCCTACAGATCCACAGGCACCTACGTCGACGAGGTTCCCCCCCCTGGGGCGAACGTAGTCGATGGCATGTGGATCTACAGGGTGAAGCGGCCACCGGGATCTCCTCCGGTTTTCAAGGCGTGCTACGTGGCTAGAGGTTTCGGTCAGCGCGAGGGAGTTGACTTCTTTCAGACCTTCGCGCCTACCCCGAAGATGACCACTCTTCGGGTGTTACTGCACGTTGCAGCACAGAGAGACTACGAATTACACTCTCTCGACTTCTCCACTGCTTTCCTTCAGGGTAGCCTACACGAGGAGGTCTGGCTACGTCGTCCCTCTGCCTTCACTGGCACTTTCCTCTTGGGACCCAGTGGAGGCTGAGGCGACCTGTCTACGCTCTTCGCCAGGCCCCTTGTGAGTGGCACGACACTCTGCGTTCTACCCTCTCAGACCTTGGGTTCCAGCCGTCTTCTGCCGAACCGTCGCTGTTCGTTCGTCGTGGCTCCACACCGTTCTTTGTTCTTGTCTACGTCGACGACCTCGTTTTCGCCACTCCTGACAGGGTTGCCTTGGCAGACGTGAAGTCTGAACTGCAGAAGAGACACACGTGCACTGACCTTGGTGAGCTGCGCCACTACCTTGGCCTGCAGATCACCAGGAACAGAGCTGCTCGCACCATTAGCACACACACACATGGTGCAGCAGGTCCTTCAGCGGTTCGAGCTTCAGCACTCCACAGTACAGCGCACACCTCTTGCTCTTGACCACAGACTTACTATACCCTTTCCTGACGAGCCGTTTGAGTCCAGTGGTCCCTATGCAGAGCTGGTGGGCTGCCTCATGTACCTGATGACTTGTACTCGCCCTGACCTCGCCTTCCCTCTCAGCATCCTTGCGTGCTTCGTTGCGCCAGGTAGACACCGTCCTGTTCACTGGACGGCGGCTGTGAGGGTGGCGAAGTACCTAGTGACGACATCAGGCGTGAGGCTAGTTCTTGGAGGGCAGCAGTCTGTCGTACTTACTGGTCACTGTGACTCTTCTTACGCTGACGACGCTGAGACTCACAGGTCTACTCAGGGGTACTGTTTCAGCTTGGGTTCTGGAGCTGTTTCTTGGAGGTCCACGCGCTTCTTTTCGGTCTCGACCTCTACAGCTGAGGCTGAGATCTACGCTAGTGCCATGGCGGCACAGGAGCTGCGGTGGTTGACGTTCTTGCTCGCCGACCTTGGTGAGCGGCCGAGCTCTGCACCAACCTTGTTCACTGACAGCAAGGCATCGATTCTCCTCTGTCGAGAACCGCGACTGGAGAGCAGAGTGACGCACATTAACGTCAGGTACTTTCTTCTGCGAGAGTTGCAGAAACGTGGACAGGCTCGCTTCGAGTTTGTGGAGTCCGAGGCCAACACTGCAGACATCTTTACCAAGGCGCTTCCGCCCTGTGACCACCAGAGGTGTTGTGTGCAGTTAGGCCTTGTTGACACAGGTTCTAGTCGTGTATAGGCTTGAGTTTACTGTTTGCTTTGCTTGTACTCTTGCTATACCCACTTGTGAACTCTTGGACAGGCCTGTGGCCCCTGCTGCTTGTGCTCGGAGTGTGTGGTGACGTTGTGATCCACCCTGAGCTTTGTTTCTTTGTGACTGGTCGTGTGACCGTACACTTTTGGTTTTTTGCTTGACACCACTCACTTAGGCTATGGGGGTGTGTCAAATGTTGTAGCTTGTAGTGAGGTTTGTCATAGGGGGTACATATGCAAGGGTTTGTTATATCTACCCCAACCCACATCAATGAACCAACACTTCTGTTCTTGACACGTTGGAAGAAGATGAGCTGTGTGGCAGCCCTTGTTACACTCTTGGTACCACTCTATGGATTGCAATGTGCTGGTCTTCAGGGGTGGCAGCAGGTGTGACATGCTGATATTGCGGTAGAATGTGCAATATCAAGCCTGGCAGCAGGGGGTAGTGAAGCGCTTGCAAGATACAAGTGACAGAAGGTTTTCTAGTAGCGGTTTGCAAGAGGTGTGGCAGCAGGTGCTGTGACTGGGAGTGCGAGGGGCTGCAGGTTCAGAGATGAACGCGGTCTAGGTGCGGAGAGTCACTCTACAACAGAGCTGGACTACGGGGAAAGGCATGAGTTGTATGAGTGATCGCAGCGTTCCTTATTGTTCTCTCTGCTTGCTCATTCACAAGGAGAATCGGCAAGAATTCCACTAGCAAAGTTGGCATTACAGAATGAGTAAATAAGCAGTGGCAAGAGTGACTACATCAGAGCCTAGCAACCTAGCAGGCAAGCTGGTTGACCGCCAACGCAGCAAGGTCGACACTCTGCCAGCGTTGCGTAGAGCCATCGCGCCAGCGTTGCAGAAGAGCGACCTGCCAACTGAGCAAGACGGCGGCTTGCCAACGCTGCACCAAGGCGGCTTGCCAACGTTGCAACCGCGGGTGACAGTAGCGCAGGTGCACACCCACTTAGCGGGTGCGCGGCGACGGTCGAACACGTAGTCTACCGTTGTGTAGGTGCCGAGTCGGCCACATGCGGACAGTTGTGCTAGAAGCTCCACGTACCCCGAGGTCGCCTTCGCCATCGCAGCCTCGACGACATTCGTGCACCCCCACGGAACCTCGTCGAGGAGGTTACTTGGTCGACCGAGTATCAACCCAGCGCCCTGGTCGACGACCTCCCTCGTCGGCCACTGTTCGCGTCGACTGCCCTGGTCAAAAGACCCCTCCGTCGACCAGCACGGTCAGCTATTGCCGTCGAGCTCCCACTGTCGACAGCCTCTTCGACAGACCCGCGCAGGTCGACGACCACCTTCGTCGACCTCCGTGTCGAGACATGCCGCCGATTCCCGTCGACGGCGGTGTTGCAGCGGTCCTCTGCAGGTCGACCCACTCCATCGACCTGCACTCGTAGACCTCTGCGGACAGATGGCTGCACCTCTCGCGCACCCGATCCCAAAGTCGGCTTCGCCTAAGCGAGGGCGGGGCCAACATCCTATTCCTGTCAACATTAAGTACCATGTTGTTGCTCCTTGCCTTTGCCATCGCTTCGACCCACCTAGGCCTCCTGAGGGTGCGACAGCCATCCTAGGTAAAGAGCCGGGAAGCTATTGGAGACATAACCGCCATCTGCGTGCCCTGTTGCTCCTTTGCCTTTGCCATGGCCTCCACCCCCCTTCCCCTCCTTCCCCTTCCCTTCCTCCCCCTGCTCTCTCTACTGCTGCTCTCCCTTCTTCTGCTCTCCATTCTGTTTCTCTCCCTACCTCTGCCCTCCCTTTCCCTGCTCCACCTTCCCTTACTCCAACATCTCCTGCTCTCACTTCCCATCCTCGCTGCTCCTCCATGGTCTTTCGTTTCCTCCCACCTTGCATGCTGCCTACCAACCTCCCTCCCTCCACTCCCCTTTCCACTCCCCTCCACTCCCCTCCCACCGTTTCCCCTCCCACCGTCCCCCATCCCCTGTTCCCCCTCCTGCCGTCCCTCCTCCCACCGTTCCCCCTCTCACCAGCCTCTTCCCCCCCATTGCCCTCCCGATCTTCCTGGTCCTCCTCCTGCTCCTCCTCCCTAATCTCCTCGCCTCATGAGTCTCCTCCTTCTCCTGTTCTTTCACCTCCCCTCCCTCCTCACTCTCCTCCCATTCTTCCCCATTCCCAGCAGCAGCGGCATCAGCAGCACAGCAGCAGCAGCAGCAGCAGCAGCATCAGCAGCAACAGCAGCAGCAGCAGCAGCAGCAGCAGCAGCAGCAGCAGCAGCAGCAGCAGCAGCAGCAGCAGCAGCAGCAGCAGCAGCAGCAGCAGCAGCAGCAGCAGCAGCAGCAGCAGCAGCAGCAACAGCAGCATCATCAGAAGCAGCAGCAGAAGCAGCATCAGCAGCAGCATCATCAGCAGCAGCAGAAGCCGCATCAGCATCAGCAGTATCAACGTAAGCATCAGCATCAGAATTAGCAGCATCAGCATCAGCATGAGAGTTAGCAGCATCAGCAGCTGCAGCATCAGAATCAGCAACAGCAGCAGAAGCAGCATTAGCATCAGCAGCATCAGCGTCAGCATCAGCATCAGCATTAGCAGCATCAGCTTCAGCATGAGCATTAGCAGCATCAGCATCAGCATCAGCATTAGCATTAGCAGCATCATCACTAGCACTATCCACGCCAGCAGTGACAACAGCATCAGCAGCATAAGCACCATTACCAGTGGTAGTGCAATGAGCAATTGCTGCAGCATCATCAGTTGACCCCGCAGCAGCAGCATAAGCACCATCATCAGCACCCATTGCAGCCTGATGAGCAATGGCTGTGGCAAAATCAGTTAGAGGAATATCAGCAGAACCAACAGCAGCATCAGCAGACCCTGCAGCACCAGCACTAGCAGCACCACCAGCAGCAGCAACAGCAGCAGCCCTTGCGACGGACAGCAAGGGCCTAGACCAGGAATACGGGGCATAAACCCTCCAGTCCTCCCATCCCCAACCACTAACCACGACAGTCTATTCCCCCACCTGGACCTCACTCCTCTTCATCCCCTCAACCGGGTAAGGCCGTCCAAGCGAAGCAACATGCTGCTCCAGAAGAAGTGGCAGCGGATGAAGGGGATTTATCATGACACAAAGACGGGAGAGCAGGCACCATACCCCTGCCCAATCCAACCTGCTCTCCCGACTGTCATTAGCCACAAACCAAGTAATATTAGTAAAACGGGCGCCAACCTCTCTTACTCCAGCGTTAAAAGGCGTGCTCTCTTTGCTGCTGGTTCTGTCCCTGCATTTCTGTTCCTGCCAAGATTGCAGTCGTGAGAGGCTGTTGCTGCTACTGCTGTTGATGTTGCTGCTACTGACGATGTGGCTGCGAGTGGCAATGGGTGTGGTCACTGGTACGAGTGGCAGGACGGGTTGTGTTATTGCCGAGAGGCAGGGCGAAATGGTGGTGAAAGAGCTGCACACGGAAGGTGCAGTGTCAGCAGTCTTCCTTAGCTCGTGGAACCTTGTGGCTCCAATGATGTGTTTCGCATTGTAGTGTGCCTGTGGAAAGGGAGGGAACAACATAAAATGTGGTGACGGCAAAGGAGCTGTGTTCTTCAACTCGTCATACAACACAAACTTCTGAGGCAACTTAGAAACTATCCTCCTCAAATTGTCGGACCTTGTGGCTCCAATGATGTATTGCTACAACTCGTTCAACATAGTGTGCCTGCTGAAGGAGAGGTAGCAAGAGGAACACACAATATGATTTTACACAATTGTGCAAATTATGCTACGAAACAATTCCACTGGTTTCATTTTCAGCTCTAAGTGCAATCAACCTAACCACATTGTCCGCGCCCTGATGTCACTCCATGTCACTGATGCGTGCAAAAGAATCAGAAGAGCTCAAGTCAAAATGTTGTGCATAAAGAGTCACAAGGTACATCAAACCGACACACATGACTGAGACATATATCACGACCACTAAACAGTTAGTAGTCTATCTGAGGAGGTGTTACATTTATGCATACCATCCTTTTCTTGCCAACAGTCCACTTGTTGCATAGGTTGGGATGCAATCATAGATGAACTATGTAGCAAGGGAAGAACTTGTCACGAATGATTAGCAAATGGTAAAAAAGCAGTTCACACTTGTACCTCGTAATGTTCTCCAAATGTTCGGACATTGCTCAGCGAGCTTTATGTAGTAGGCTTAAGCAAAGGAAAAACAGCGGTGAAATCCGCTCGATGTAACACTAAGTGCTTAAAGAGATCTAAGAACGCAAATTCATAGCAGTAGGGTAAAACAGGGACAAACATGTTCTAGCTGAAAGGGAGAGACCCTATCGAGCCTTCACAAGTGGCGACAATGTACATGTGTAGTAGGCTTAAGAAAAGAAAAACAGCGGTGAAATCCATTCTATGTAACACTAAGTGCTCAAAGAGATCTCAGAACCCAAATTCAGCAGTAGAGTAAAACAGGGACAAACATGTTCCAGCTTAAAGGGAGAGACCCTATCGAGCGTTCAAAAGTGCCAACAACAAGAAAGAAGGGCTAAGCATTGCTTTTAAGAAGAAACGAAGCTTATAAGAATGCGAACTCTAGGCTATCGACACCCAGGTCACCCAAATGACGGGACCAATCCAGACCACCCTTAGAATCTTCAAGTAGCCACATCTTCAATGTCCTCGAAAGTCTCAGCGTGAATACTTGGGTGTAGATTGTTGCCAGGGGGCAATTTCCGAAGTCGCGAGTGTACCAGTATCCTTGGCAGGTTACGACCAAATTTCCACGCAACAAACATCTTCTCCACGTATTATCCATGTGTGATGGCAATGGGGTTTCCCGGTGAAAGGTATTATCACGGATGAAGGAGGCAGCTTCAAGTCTGGTATTATAAATACTGGCATTCTTCATCAAATGGATGTGTGGCACAAGGGCCGGGCACTGTCCAAGAAACTCAAGCGTAACATGGTCGACACACGCAGAGATGATATGCGGGTGGAAGAAGCTGAAACGGTAGAGGATTTGTGGGACATTGCCCCAAAACACCTGAGAGCGTGGCTGTTGGCTCAGAACGTGTCCACCATCCGCCCAAGCACGACAAAGAAGAAGATGATTGAAACGATTTGCCGCAAGAAGAGCTGGGCGTTTAAACAACAAGGGGAACCGAGATCACCTTGGAAGTACGAAGAGATGCGGCGTGTCCAGCGCGTGCGTAATGCGAGCCCTGATTTTGCCGGCAATGGCAGCACGCTACAGTCAGATTGCGAGCGCGATGTAGATGGGGATGGTGGAGAAACATGCACTGATCATTCACACGCGGGGCGAGAGCCAGGGGTGACAGAGGTGCCAGTGAGATATGCGACTTCTTTGGTGGGTGCAGAGAGGGGAGGGGGTTTTCTGGTACTGAGTTCGTCGGTGGTTTTGTGCCGATCGAGCTACTTGAGGAGTCGGTGGATGGGTTGGAGGGGAGGGAAGGTCCTTTGCAGGATATTGAGTTCAACGACGTTCGTGAGATGTGGGGGTATGACCCGCATCCTTCACATGGTGTGCGGCCATGCTCTGTGGTGTCACTCTGGATAATACAGGCCACGGGCCATGCCTGCCACAGCACAATTCCAGACGAGGATACTGACGAATCCACATAAGCGGGTAGGTACATTTGTTTATATTCCGCTGTCTTATTCGAGGCTACCCTTTGTACGCATTCCCCGTATGATATATGCACATGGTTGATTTTGGTTGTGGTCACATTTTTCCATGTAACTTTGTTTCTTGTTCCCAATCCTTTGTAACATCGTTTGCATCTAGAACCCGCATCAAACATAACCCCATGCAAGAGGCGCTGGGTGGACAGGGAGGGAGGGAAGAAGAAACAGTGGGCGAGAGACGGTTTGGAGGATGACGTGGTGCGGGAGGTGAATGTTGCTCAGCGATTTTGCATACATTTCCATCATGTCATGGCACGATGCGCCACCCTTTTCAGAGCGGGTCATCCTATGAGTCCTGAGGATGTTGCAACTGAGATTGGGTGTGCGGCTGACCACTGGGCGGGAGATCATTCACACTGTTCACGAGGAGGTGTCACATCGAGGTGTGTGGCGGATGGTTGGGGAGAAGAGAGTGCACTCTACGAAAAGGGTTCCAAAACGCACATGGATTTCAAGAAGTGGTTAGATGACAACTGTGAGCCTACCCAGATGGCGCCCTACGTTCATGGTGCTTGCAACTGGGTGAATGAGTCATTTCATTCACTCATTTGCAAATATGCACCCAAACGTATTAGGTTCCAAGGGAGCATGCGAGCCAAGGTTGGTCTTACGGTGCTGCATTGGAACAACTCACTCGATCACAAGGTCCGTGCTATGAAAATGAGGATACGGCGTGCCACACGTGTCCGTCTAGGCAAACGGTATCGAATCCTCGGGCCGATGTCAAGTGGGTGGACGAGATCATGCGCGACTGGAGATGCTTAGGGGATGGAGTTGGGGAGGAACCGTGTGCTGGAGATGAAGGTGCAAGCGAACCACCACCACCCCCTCACACTCCTGTAGTGGTGCAACGCGATGCAAGGGGCGGAGGTGACGACGACACTCCCGGCCCCATGTCCCCCCCTCCCAAGCGGCGTCGCAAGGGCGGACCCTCGCCTCCATTAGCACGGCGCGCAATATTTGGTTCGGTTTCTCCTCATCTTCATTGATCTCTCATCATGTTTGTCTCTCAACAAGTGTCGCAAATTATGGCGCTTGTGACGTTTGTTCCACTATTGATGTTTTTTCTTGGCATTCCCCCTAATTGTAGGTGACATATCCAACTTCGTGTGCCGTGTGCCCGACCTCGCATGCCACCATCGCTGATATCCGCTTGGCGATTGACACCGTTAATGGTGAGGATGAGTTGTGTTCGCATTATGCAGCAAGTCCTCTCCCCTGCCACATCCACCCAATCCCATTTTCACCCCTCTCCCTCTTGGTTCTACCCGGGTGGATGTTAGGGCTTTGTCCCGCCTCCCCCACTCAACCTCACGGATCATGTGCATCAAGGTGTCACCAGTGAGTGAGGCACTGCAATATAGTGGAGAATGATTTCTCTCAAACCCTCATTCATCCCTCCTTCCTACCTTCTCCTGCCTCCATCCCCAAGCGCCTCATCTTGTCAAACTTATGCACTATAGTCTGTGTAGGCTGTAGTGGGGTAGCTCATATGGGGTACAACATTCTAGGGTTTGGTACTTGTACTCCTCATGCTGCTCAATGCACTCATTCCTCGTTCTTATTTTCACATGGTTTCAGAGCAGGTTCCCTAGTGGGAACTTCTTCCTAGGGCCCACCCATATCGAACCTTTTTTTCCTGCCCGGGGCGCGAGTCGCCCCTGCCCGAGACGCGATCGGTGAGCCGCCCTTAGCGGCCCCGTCACCGCCCTTAGCGGCCCCGTTGCCACCCTTAGCGGCCCCGTCGCCACC